AAAGCTCTTAGCTCATTTGTATTTAATTTACTTAGAATTTTATCACCACGTTATTACTTTTTTTTTTGTGTGACAAATCTGCAACAGATATAACAAGACCTTATTTGACTTTCATTAAACCTAGGTATAGTAAAGGTATTATACTTAATATTGCTGACTCTAAAGATGTCTATATTAATTAGAACAAACTTAAACTAAATTTAATACCAAGTATTAACTTAATATCGATTATTTTCCAGCTCACGTGAACCTGAAACTCAATTTGGTCAATTTTTATTTTAGAAATATTTAATTTGTAGTGCTTATTTTTTAGTCAGTTAAGTAGAGCTCTTTGATTTTGATATTTTTTACCAGTAGAGACATCTCATATCTATAACGTGTACACAGACTTATAAACAGACAAAACTAGAGGTCTCATAGCTTCACTTTAAAACTTAGTTATGAGTTAGCTATTACAATATAAATTTACTGCTTATAAATGATGGAATACATTGAATTTGCTTGCTCAAATCACTAAGGCTTACTATTTATGAAAAAGATATTTAGATTTCTATTTGTCCTTGACAAAATCTGAAGGACCCTTCAGATTTCTGAGTTCTAAAATGCCAAAAGTTTCTTTGGCTTTAAGTTTTTATTTCATTGAGCTAATTAGGCTCAGTCTCAGGTCATTGCTTGCTGTATTTATATTTCTGATCTGCAAGACAAAGAGTTGCTTCCAGTTCCTGAAAGAACTGGTCTGTCACCTAGGTCCAATTGTAGCTCCTTAATTTGCTTTTCTGTATCAGTGAGAAGAGCTCTAAACAAAGAATTTTTATTTTTTTTTAATTTTAAGGCTTACTATATCATGTCTTCAAAAGTTTGCATAAGGCATTTAGTAAGGTCTCTTTTCCTTGAGTTATAAGTTAAACCCAGGGTAAATCTCTTATTATTTTTTTATTAGTCCCTGAATATTAGTTTTTAGTTCTACTTTATATTGGACAGCTCAGGTAACTCTATTCATTTCCTTTACTATTTTTTATTAATATTTTCTGAGGGACGGATATGTGCCCAGTCTTATAATACCAAGAAAGGGAAGCATTTTTCATTGAAATATATCCATCCCATAACATAATTAAGCAAAAGAGGTTATATAAAGCCCACTTAAATATATTAATTTTATAAACCATTATCTCAATTTTATCAACTCTTATACCCTAAATTTTAATATTTATTAGGTTTAATCAATAAGTCTTATTTCTAGAAAGAGTGTCAGATGCGTTTTTCTTTTATTTCTTGTCCACTTTATATAACTTTATATAAAAGTCTCTGGGATCCCCAAGTTTGAGCCAAAGGACTTAGGCCCTTGTCAATTTTTAATTTGATTAATTGGTCTGTTGCCCCAATCATTGATCAAGTATATCAGTCTATATATTTTTTCCAGCCCTATAAATATATATATTTTAAACTGGGGTAAATAAAGTGGACTTGTTTGAACTTTATTGTCGGGGTCCAGTAGGTGATCCCTTTGGCTTTTTTAAACTTTACGTAGTGTAGAATCAAAACCTTGTATCTTAATCCATAAATGTCCATTTTATTTATCACATTCCAAATAAACATCTAAACATATTTATCCATTTTGGATAAGTCCCTTATTTTTCCCTTGTTAAGAAAAAAATCTTTTGACCTTTTTTACATTCCTTTTTCCAGTTACTCAACCTAATTAACATTAATTATTCTAATGTTTTTATTAGCATCTCTAAAACCCATTAAAGGGAAAGGGAAATAACAAATGTAGCTTTCTAAACCATTTTTTTTCTAAGTTCTTAGACTAATAATTATATATATTTTCCCACCTTTAACCTTGATTGATTTTAATAGGTACCAATAAAGCAGCTGTTTATAATGAGAGCTCTCTCAGCTTTCACCAATTTAGAAGTTTCTCCAATTTAAAGGATAGATCATATGGCCATCAATGAGATATATCAATATATATCAATTACATATATTAATATATCAATATATATTAGTAGTGATTTTAAACTAATAAGATGAAGCGACTCTCCCACATGAGGGGGGGAGTGCCGCCTAAATAAAATTCAAAAGTTTACTCCCCAAAAGGTAAAGGCCTTTGCAGTCCAGGCTGATGCAACAAAGGTTAAGATGGCAAGATGCCTGAGAATTGGTACAATCAAAGGACTGTTCAGAATCCCAACTTATTTGCTTGGCCACACTATGTACACCATACTTGTTCCTTTTGGATGGCAGTCTAAGTTTTCTTTAAAAAAGAAACACATACATACATACATACATACACAGAAAATGCCCAGAGAAAGATAAAACATTTACATTTCAAGGACACAGGAAGAGAAATCCAAGTCCCCCTAAAGGGGCTTTTGTTTTTGTAAGATCAGAATTCCAAAAAATATTTTTATCAGGCCTGGCTAGTTATTTTCAGGGTGAGATTTTTTTAATTTTCAATTAAATTTGTAAGTTTTGTACATACATAAACCTGGTTGGGGTATTAGTTGGAGGCTGGAAATCTGTCATTTCTTTTTCTTTTGTTTTCAAAGGTCTATTCCCAATCTAAGGTCAGGTTATTAAAATAAAATTGCTAGTAGGTTTCCCCACAGAGACAACTGCACATTTGCCTCTACCACTCCTGCAAGTTTCTCAGTCACCTGAAAAAGCTGTTGCCAACCAGGGGGAGAGTCCCATTTTTGGAATCAAAAGGCTCCTCATAAGATTTTTACTTTTATCCTGATAAATTCAATGGAGGTAACCAAAATGAGGAAAGCATTAGACCAACCTCTTACCTAACCACTCTGTCCAGACCCTGGTATCTTTCAACCAGGCCCCAGCCAGGGTGTATCCACTGGGTGGGTATTTCCCTGGCATCTTTCACAAAGCCCCACCTAGGACATCTCCTCAAGGTGGGTATTTCCCTGGTGTCTTTCAAGCAGCATCCCCCTCACCTAGGATGTCTCATCTAGGTGTGTATTTCCTCTTATCTTTCAATCAGATCCCACCCAGCATGTCTCCACTGGGTGGGTATCCCTCCACCCTGGTACCTTTCAACTGGAGGGCCAGGTACTGGATACACCACCAAGTAAAACTCAGGATCATCAACCAATATTAGAGATCTGAGAACCAGGAGAGACTCACCCAAATTCATCTGGACTCAAGGAGGCAGATGGGCACAAAGGGCCTCTGCTGGTACCAAGGCTCTGGTTCCTCATAGAGTTCAGGTAAAGGAGAGAAGTCTGCTCTCGGTCCCTTCTGGTCAGCATAACAGTCAACTGAAATAAATGGGCAGCCTAAAAGTTGAGAGTTATGTTTTATTCAGCAGGAGGATTCAAGCTGAGATGACAGCCTCTCAGATCTCTCTGAGCTCCAAAGAGGTAAGGAAGGAGCTAGGATATATAGGAGCTTTACAACAAAGACCAGGTAGTTGGAACAATAAAAGATTACTTGTTATCTTAAAAAAAGCAAGCATCTCAAGTAAAAGAATTTAGTGCTTTTCTATGTATGGGAGGAAGCAAACATTTGCACTCATTGAATTCCTTCCTTTGACAAGCACCTAGCTGTCTAGGGCTAGTATCTTGTCCTTTATTATTCTGAGTCCCCTCAGAGTGCACCATTGTGAGTGCCTGGAGAGGCTAGGAGGCAGGCTTGTCTTCACTGGGGGGTGGCAGCAGCTGCTGATGACTTGATGGTTTCAGCATTCTTTGCTTACTGATATGGCTTGCACTACTATTTATTCACAGTACATTTATCCAAAATAAAACTTGTAACTTATAAGCCCCAACGGGAACCAGGAGAAACCTACACTTGCGAGGCAATACACAACTTCAGGTACATGTTTAAAAAAAAACCCACCATGTAACGATGATTACAACAGTACATAATTGCTTAAATATATCCAATTAAAGCTCCTAAAATAAGTATTTTAATATACAGTGAGAAAGATACATGTTTCCAGTAAAAGAGTTTCATAAAACACAAAAATTTCATGCATAATCAGGATTTTAAATATTTGACAAGTTCTAAAAGTTCTTTTTAGCTGCTGCTAACTTTGAGATGCTTTAAAGGAAGTCTAGGGCATCTTAGATATTAAGTTAACTTTTTTTTTAAAATATGTTAAGTTAAACATAATCAGTCACAATTCTAGTAATCACAAACAAGTCTCTATCAATTACAGATGTTTAACCATAACTTTTAAGTCTTTTTGTTGTTACAGACTGTCAAAGTGCTGTTACAAAGGTGCTTCATCTTTAAGAAAATTCACCAAAAGTCAATGAAAACGGTGGGTTACAGCAGCCCCACATCTGATGATGGCTATGTGAGGATTCCAGCCAATACCCTCAGCCCTTGGATGCAAAAACAAAAGGCTGTCCTGTTCCTGGGGTCCCTAGATTAGACATTCAGAGATTTTTACTCCCTGATATGCAGGGCCAATGACCCTACTCAAGCTGGAAGCAGTTTCAAAAGATGGACCTTCTTTGCCCCTCCACAACCCCATAAGATAATGGGAGTAAAATCTCTGAGGGTGGAATGAGACAGAAAGGAGGCAGGGCACAGCCATTCAAGGAATGCTACAGCAATTAACATCAAAATGGTGAAAAATTCAACCCCCAGTAGGCCTTGACGCTCAAGATGATGGGAGATTTAACTCCTAGTAGACCTTTGGAGCTGGCCCACACTCTGTCCACGGAGTGTGTACCTACTTTTAATCTGAGCAGCCAACCTCCCACACCTTGTGGCACATCCCAGGGGCTCAACTGAAGCCTGGGACACAGCCCTTCTCAGGCCTCACATCTGTTTTCCTGCATCACTGGGACATGCCCTGCCAGGCATGGGTCCTTGGCTTTGCACAGGAAAGAATTCAAGAGCAAGCCACAGTTGAATAAAGGTAGATTTATTCAGAGAGATATATTGAAAGACAAGAGAAAGACCATAAGGTGTGGGGGTTGGGTGCTCAAATTAAAAGTAGGTACACACTTCATAGACAGAGTGCAGGCCACCCCTGAATGGTGGGATGGGGGAGACAGAGAGGCCATGAGGGGCAGAGTTGCCCATTTTTATGAGCTTTGGTAGCTTCATATGCAAATAAGTGGAAGGACCAGTCTAACTATCCTGGGGAAGGGGCTTGGATTCCCGGGAATTTGGCTATTTCCCACTCTTTGACCTTTTGTGGCTAGCCTTGGGACTGTCATGGCACCTGTAGGCATGTTATTCATCATGCTAACATATTATAATAAGCATATAATGAAGCTCAAGGTCAACTAGAAGTTAAATATCCCGTCATCTTGAGCCTTAAGGCCTACTGGGAGTTGAATCATTCACTATTTTGATGTTAATTGCTGTAGCATTCCTTGAATGGCTGTGCCCTGCCCCTTCCTGCCTCAGTGCCCAGCTGGAAAGGCCTTCCCACCCAGTAGAAGGGCTTTCAGGGAAGTCACAGAGGTTCAAAGATTGGGCTGGGCAGAAACCTGGGATTTAGGCACAGATGCCTGTGGTGCCAGGAGACCATCACTGACAAGAGAGCCCAGATGCCAAGCGAAAGGACTCAGGACCCCACAGGAGCACACAGAGATGCATTCCAGCCAGCAACTGGGGGAGTCCTCAGGCCTCAGTCTGCCCTGTGGATATTGGGGACCAGCCCATGGTGCACGGTTTTCCCAGGCCACTGCAGGCCTGCGCTCAAGGGTCCTGGTTGCCCACCTTTACGCAAAAAAAATAAAAAAACAAGAGCAGGAAAGGGTGGAGCCAAAGTGGCCACCAACCAGGTAACAAGCTGCAGGCTCAGAAAAAAACCCTCCGCTGCCAATGAACCAGGTTGGATTAGTGTGGGCCCTGGCATTGCAGTCCAGAGCCACGCCGAGGATTCTAGGTCCTGTAGATCTGGGGTTAGCAGAAACGCCAAAGATTCTAGGTACTGTAGTCCCAGAATGAGCACAAACACTGAGGATCCTGGATACTGTAGTCCCTGGACGGGCAGCAGTGGGGAGCTGGTAACATACCAAGACCTCTGAGTACTGTAGCCCCAGGATTAGGGGAGGGTGCACGTGGATTCTGGTTACTGTAGTTCTGAGATGAACAAAAATACCGAGGATTCTGGGTACTGTAGTCCTGGGCAGGCAGGCATGCTGAGTCTTCTGGGTGTTGTAGTCCCAGGACGTGGCACACCTAGGATTCTGGGTACTGTAGTTCCACGCCACATGAAGGATTCTGAGTACTGTATCCCCGGGCCACGCAGGGGATTCTGGGTGCTATGGACCCAGGCCTCTTGAGGTGCTTTGGTCCATGTCCCTGTTCCCTGTCATGCTGACAAGTAGGACTTCCCATTCCTCTCTTCTGTGTGATTTTCCCTTGGGGAAGGAGGGGTGTGCAAGGCTGATCTTGTGGCTCAGTAGTGAGGCCTGGTGGGGCAGAGCACTTGAGAGCCTCAGGCCCAGTATTTCTGCTGGGGGCAGGGGAGGACTCTCCAAAAGCACATCAGGTAAAGGCAATGGGGTGTGGTGCTTGCCAAGGACCCCAGGTCAGGGCACCACATGGTTTATTATCTCTCTTAGCAAGCTAAGAGGTAGCAAGGCAGAAGGCACTTTTGCCAGCCTCATGGATGTAGAGAACTGAAATATCCCAAGGTGCTCTCTACACTACCCAGGGGGTTGTTGAATTGCCCAACAGCATAGTCAGCTTAGTAACTGACAACAGAGTCTTGACAGGCCCAGGCTGGCCTGAGCTGGAGGACCATGAATGCCTGCCCAGATGGTCAGAAGTCAAGGGCTGTCCTGCCTGATTTGACTATCCCTTGATGCCCACTCAGATGGGACAAAAGATCCAGCCAGTTCCAGGGGGTGGCCCATCAGCACACACAAAGGGAGCACCTGGGGGCTGGCAGGTCCCTCCACCCAGCCCTGTGTACATCCACACATGTCTACTGAGTTTTCTGGGTGCCAATACTGTGCTGGAACCTGGGGCTGCATAGGCAGAGTGGGGACAGCAATGCCTTGCCCAGGTGAGAGGGCAGAGGAAAACACTTGTGACTTCTGAGGTTCCACAAGCCTTGACTGAGATTGAGTTGGATTTGAAACAGTCAGTGATAACAACAGACATTTCATTCTTTCAGTGCCCAGGACAGGGGGGCAGAAAAACAGTGGTACAGTCAACTCCCTGACTCATGTGTGACTCTGGGCTAATCCTGTCCATCCTGGAGGCCTCAGAGAGATGGATAAGAGAGAGAAGGGAATGGGCCAGTGATGCTTAAACCTAACTCTTCTAACCCTAATGCTCTAAACCTAACACCCTCACCTATACCCTAATCACCTAACCTATAACCCTATACCCTAACCCCAGGCCCCTAGACCCTTGGCCCTGACTCCTAAACTCTAAACACTGACCCTTACCCTCACCCTAACCCTCTAACCCTAACTCTACAACCCCTACAACAACCCTGAATGTGGACACTGATCCTGACCCAGGACTAAACACTAGGCTTAATCTAGCCCTGACTCATACCCATATCTTACCCTAACCCTAAATTTAACCCATACCCATTAACCATAACAGGTTAAAAAATAGAGGGGAGGCGTGGACTGTGCACTACAAGCAAGTGTCTGTACACCAGAAATCCAGGTTTTTCAACAAATTAAAACCAAACAAGGTAATACACCACAGTAACTATGTGACATAAAAACACATGGTTATATTGATATAGAAAAAAACTTTAAACAAAATCCAGTGCTATTTCATGTTCATAAACACTCAAGAAATTAAAAGGAAATCTGTTCAATATGATTAAAAAAAAACTATTATGCAAAGTCCATAGCAAACTTCATGCTCAAGTTGAAGGTTTACTCCTGAAATCAAGAAAAAAAGTCCATGATGCTTGCTTTCCCCACTGTTACTCAGTACTGTACTGGAATCTCTACACTGAGTAATGAGAAAAGAAGGAAAATACAACCACATGTGGAAGGAAAAAGTAAAACCATTTCTATTCAGAGACACCACTCACATCATCTTATATATAGACCCACCTAAAGAATCAACAGGAAGTTATCTGAGCTACTAAACTAGTTCAGCAAAACTACAGAGCAAAATATCAAGAAACAAAAGTTAATTTTATTTGTAGACACTAGCAATTAATAACCTGAAAAGGAATTTAAGAAAACAATTCTCCTTTAAATAATGTCAGCATTAATACAATATTTTGGAACAGGTTTAATAAGGATGCAAGACTGGTACACTGAGAATTATAAAGCATTGGTGAAAGAAACCCTAATTAAATATGGAGACATCCCATGGTGATAGAAAGACTTAATCTTGTTAAGATGGCAACAGTGCACGATGCAACCTACAGATTCAATGTGGCTCCTGTGAAATGTCCCAAGGCCTAAGGGAAGAAATACACAAGCCTATCCTACCCTACGTATGGAACTACAGGGAACTCCAAAGAGCCAAAACAACTTTGAAAGGGAAAATCAAAACTGTAGGATCATGTTTCCCAATTTCGAATCTTAGTACTGTCGACTACAATAAAATCACACAGTGTGAGAGTTGCAGGTTAAGATTTACTTGGGGCAAAATGAAGACTATAGCCTGGGAGATGGCACCCCAGAAAGCTCTGAGAAACTGTTCCTCAGTTTTATATGTGATTTCAGTGAAGGGGGGCTTGTATGTGCAATCAAGCACACACTCAGGTAAAGGCTAGCTGCTAGTCACGAGGAGCAGTTGTCACCATTGATGAATTTAGTGTTTTTCTAGATAGGAGGAGATGCAGGAATTTGGGCTTATAAAATCTTCTCCCGAAAATATCTAACTATCTGAAGGCCTGTTCAGTCAGTTTTCCCAGAGCACAGAGTGCCTCATGCTTGACCTCCATCCTGCACTCCTTTCAGGGTGTGTTGGAGGTCAGTGGCTGCAGTGGCTCACAATTTAATCCAAGGAGAGTTAGATGGCAAATGCCAATTTTTAATTAGCAGTACCAAGCAACAGTAAATTAAACAGTTGACACTGGTATAAATATACATGTACAGATCCATGGATTTGAATGGAGGGCCCAGAAGTAAACCCATCAATCTAGGATCAACTGATTTTTGACAACAGTGGCCAGCATTAAATTGAGGGAAAATGGTGTTTTCAACAAATGGTGCTAGGCAATTGGCTATCCACATGCAAGGGAATGAAATTGGATCTTTACTTCCCACCACATATAAAATTAACTCAAAATAGATAAAGTTTAAGAAGAGGTAAAATTACAGTCAGCCCTCCCTACCTGCAGGTTTCACATGTGCAGATTCAACCAACATCAGGGAGCAATTTTAAAAAAAATCAGCAACACGCACACACACACACCCCCCCACCACCAACAACAACATAGTTCCAGAAAGTTCCATGAAGAAAAAATTGACTTTGTCCCATGACAGCAACTATTTAAATAACATTTACATTTTCTTCACAACTATTTACATGTTATTTACACTGTATCAGGTATTACAGGTAATCTAGAGGTGATTTAAAGTATACAGGAAGATATGCTTAGATTATTTGGAAATACTATATCATTTTATGTAAAGAACCTACAGATTTGCATATCCACTGAGTGTCCTGGAATCAGTACCCCACAGAAATAGAGTGACAGCTATATAAACTCTCGAAGGAACAATGGGGAGAAATTATGACCTTGGATTCAGCAATTTTCTTAGATCTGACACCACAGCACAAGAAATAAGAGAAAAAGATAAATTGAATTTCCTCAAAATTAAAAACCTTTGAGCATCAAAGGTGCTATCCAGAAAGTGAAAAGACAGCCCACAGAATGGAAGAAAATATTTGCATGTTACATATCTGAAATGAGTCTTTATCCAGATTTACAATTTATCAACAAAAAGACAAACAATCCAGTTTTTAAAATGGCAACAGGACCTGAATAGACCTTTCTCCAGACAAGAGATACAGTTAACAAGCACATGAAAAGATGTTAAACATCATTAGTCATCATGGAAATGCAAATTTATCCCACAATGCCATACCCCTTCACACATACTAGAATGCCTACAATCAAGAAAACTAAAAATAACAAATGTTGACAACAATGCAGGGAAATTGAAACCCTTAAATATTGCTTGTAGAAATGGAAAATGGTGCAGCCTATGTGTACAATTGTTTGTCATTTCCTCAAAAAGATAAAAATACAGTTACCATATGGTTCAAAAACTCCACTCTTAGATATAGACTCCAAAGCATTAGAAACAGATGTTCAAACAAAAAATGTGTATGTGAATATTC